TATGTTTTGCGTGCTACTTCGCAGACGAGGTTTATCGGCTTTTTGTGAAGCGTGATTATGTTCTTTCATTAATTCATCGCCATGGAATGCGTTAACATTTTTTTTTCTCGGTTAATGCGGCTCGATCATCTTCAAACGGCGGAAGCTCCATGGAAAAGGCATTAGATTAAAGACTTTTCGCCAAAATTATGTAATCAGCTTTAGTGGTGTAGTGGTAAGGTATAGTCTCGTCAAGCTTAAGGTGCAGTGTCGCCTTCTTTCTCTTTTTCCGTTTCTGTTTTATTTTGTTCGCTTATTTGTTTTGTTGTTTTTCTATAAATATATGCCTAAATAACTTTTATTTAATAGAGTGCAATAAACAGCAAGAAAAGTATCGTGTTTTCAATAAACAATCCGAATTTCTATCATTTCCCACAATTTACTGTGGGAAAACCAGAGTTGATAACTATCATTTGATTATTTTCTAAACAACGTTCCCACGAGTTGACGATAGTCTTTCTTTGATTTCCTCTCGTGTTCCATTATCGCTCACCGCCTACGATTTAACTCTCTCCCCACTGAACGCCTGGAACAGGATACAGAAAAATCTGCTCTCATTCAATTAAAACCGCTGCCGTACTCAAATATCTGTAGGATATAAGTTTCACTCCCTTCCTCTCCTCTGTTCAAATTTTTCCTCCAAATATGCCACTTCCGAGTTCCAAAAACCCTCACTTTCAAAATGAGGCTAGGTGTACAACCTTTCTTGTGAAAATGAGTTTTATTTGCATGAGAATGAAAAATGATTTCCATATCAAAGGCTGACCACCTACCCTCGTTTTGAACAGAGGTCCGGGGAAACTCGGAAATGGCCTATTACGGATGGTCTTGTATTGCCAGCAACTTTTATAAGCCGTGGCAGGGAGGCATGTTTTCCGTGATTAACATCAGCATGTCGCTTTCAATTTAATGTTACAAAGAAAAGCAACAACAATTATTTGGTTCATTCTTAAAATATGGGTATCATGCGCTCTTTCATCACCTGTCACATTCTTGACAGGCAGGAGCCCATGCTCCTGTGACAGGCGATCACGTGTCGGATATGACCAGATCTCGCCTTCGGCCTCTTCAACAAGAGATCTGAGTAGGAGATTACACAAAGGCCCTAAAAGGCCACATCTGCCTAGTTATTTACAACCCAGGGTTTATTTGTATGCAAATGTGGCAAAACCATCTTTGCCATATATTTAGTCCTCATTATTTTATATATTTGCAAGGAGCAAATTTGTGCAGAATTCTTAGCCTTTCCTCTACATTTCACTCACAATGAATTTAGTGCTAGTTAACCCTCGGATGTACACGCAAATTCATACCCCCATCGTGGTACAAGGAGGGAAGGGGGTGGGGGTGGGGGTGGATAGAACCCCTCCCGGGAGTTTTTGATACGTTGCAGTATTATTGTTTATTCCGATTGGGGTAGAAAGGAAAAGTGCAAAATGTAAGGATAGAAATTTGGAATTTATATATCTGGCACAAACGTAGACTGGTAATTATCATCATCTGTCAGTGAGTAATATTTTAAGTTTATCAACTCGATCCAACCTCTTTTGGAGCTGAAACAGAGTGCATTTGTTTTACGACAAAGACAGGCAAGGTATTGACGAAGTGATTCTACCTATGCCTTTCTTTTGTCATCTTCCGATAAAGCTATATCGCGGGGCACTGTAAATTTTCGGTACTTTAATTTTACGTATGGCCAAATAGAGGGACTTGATTATTGCCACTGTTGAAGGTTTTCCTTATTGGAAATAACAGTGATTTTTAGTGACTTTTTTTTAACAGTGATTTTCAGCTAACTTAAAATTTTAAACGCTGTGGCGTTTAATCGCGGATACCAATTTAATCTCGCACTCGCATTCTGATCCAAAGATCAGAGGCACAAAAAATTAAGTGTAATGCACACACGTAGTGACCCACATTCCCACTCGCAATTTCATACCAAGAGCCACTTGGGACCCATTATGGCTCTTGTTCATGCTTCACCCTTTGGCGACCGCCAGCGAGTAGCGACAAAACCGGATTCTTCACAAAATCCTCTTTAGGGACTTGTCAGAAATTAGCAGGGGGGGGGGGG